CAGCGCCGACACGATCTGGCGGAAAAACTTCCGGGCCTCCTTGGGCGTCAGCCTCCCCTTCTTGACCAGATAGTCAAAGAGCTCGCCTCCAGAGACGTGCTCCAGAACCAGGTACCTGGCAACAGAGGGGGCGGAGGGCTGGAAGGGGCATGTGGACGACCCCAGGGCCTGGTCTCCCTCTCTCCTGGGCCCCTGGTACAGAGAACCCCAATTCCCATGAGTCCAGGGAGAAAGAAACTCCAATTTCCCTGAGTCCTTGGGAGGAAACTACAATTCCCATCACTCCCTGGGAGGAAGAGATTCCAATTTCCATTGGCCCCTAGGAAACCAAACTCAATTCCTTTTATTTTCTTGAGTCTGAATCCCACTCTGTCACCCAGATTGGAGTGCAGTGACACAGTCACGGCCATCACAGCCTCGACCTGCTGCTGGGCTCAGGCAAGCCTCCTGCCTCAGCCTCCCAAGAAGCTGGGACTACAGACATGTGCCACCGTGCCCAGCTAATTATTTCATTTTTTGTAGAGATGAGGTCTTACCATGTTGCCCAGGCTGGTCTCAAACTCCTGGCTTCAAGCAATCCTCCCACCTTGGCCTTCCAAAATGCTGGGATTATAAGTGTGAGCCACCACACCCAGCCCCAAACTGAATTCCCATTAACCCTGGACAGCAGAACCTCCGATGTCAACTTTGAGGGGAACAACACTTTGACTCCTAGTCGCCATTAGTACAGAGAGGACAAGACCCCAATTCTCATGGGGCCCTGGGAGATAAAGACCTCCTACTCCTATGAGCCCCTGGAAAGCCAAGCCTCTAACACCCATAATCCTCTGGGACTAGCAAACTCGAATTCTTATTCATTCTTGGGCAATAACGATTGCCACGTGCACCCATCCAAGCCCACTTCTGTGAGGTAAAAAACGACAACTCCTCCCATCAGCCTCCGAGAGGCTAAAAATTCCCATAAACCTCTGGCAGGCAGAGTCCCAATCCCTATCAAGCACTTGGATCCTTAAGGCTCCAAATCCTATCAGGTTCCTGGGAAACAGAAACTAAACTTCTCTTTCTTTCTCTCTCTCTCTCTCTCTCTCTCCCTCTCTTTTGAGTTGGAGGTCTCACTCTGTCACCCAACCTGGAGTGCAGTGGCACCATCAGGGCTCACTGCAGCCTCCACCTCCTGGGGTTAGGCCATCCTCCTGCCTCAGCCTCCCATGTAGCTGGAACTACAGGTGCGTGCCACCACGTCCAACTCATTTTTTTTAAATTATTTTTTTGTAGAGGTAAGGTCTCGCTATGTTGCCCAGGCTGGTGTCAAACGCCAGGGCTCAAGTGATCCTCCTGCCTCAGCCTCCCAAAGTGCTGAGATTATAGGTATGAGTCACCACACCCCACCAGAAGCTCAATTTCTATGTGCTTTTGCACACTGGGATTCCTGCCTAAGCACAGACTCCCACAGGCCCTCCCTCCCCACACTGAACATGGGTGGGATGGCGACTCTACCTGTCCTCACAAGGGCCCCTTCCTGCGCCACACCAGAGAAGGCCATAAAACTACAACTCCCATGAGCACTGAGGCCGTTGCTTCCTACACGGGAAAACCTGCACAGGCATCCACTAGCTGTTGCCATCAGTTCATCCTGGGGACTGGGTGGTGGGGGCAGGAGGGCTGTCCCCTCTCCCACAGCCCAGCCCAGCTGTCCTTTGGGTCACCAGAGTCTGGACAAAGAGGCCCATTCTCTGGAGACTGGGCAGCTGGACCTCCACCCCCACCCTTCCTGGGGGGTAACTGACTTTGAGATACTGACTCAGAGCTCCCAGGGAGGCCTATTATTGGGGTATCCAGCCATGACACCTGAAGTTACCTTGGCGGGGGAGGAGAGGGGTCCTTTGATGTTCCACAGTGGGGGTTTGGTGGGCCCACTGCCTTAGAAATGGAGGGGGCCAGGGCTATAATCCTGTCATCCCAGCACTTTGGGAGGCAGAGGCAAGAGGATTGCCTGAGCCCAGAGGTTCGAGACCAGCCTGGACAACATAACTAGACCTCATCTCTACGATAAATCCCCCCCCAAAATTAGCTGGGCACAGTGGCTCATGCCTGTAATCCCTGCACTTTGGGAGGCGGAGGCAAGAGGATCGCCTAAGCCCATAGGTTTGAGATCAGTCTGGGCAACATGGGGAGACTTCATCTCCACAATAAATAAAAAAAAAATTAGCTGGATGTGGTGGTGCGTGCCTGTATTTCCAGCTACTTGGAAGGCTGAAGTGGAAGGATCATCTGAGCCCAGCAGGTGGAGGCTGCAGTGGCCATGAGTGTGCCACTGCACTCCAGCCTAGGCAACAGAGTAAGACTTTGACTCAAAAAAAAAAACAAAAAACAAAAACGGAGAGGGGGATGGTGGAGCATCTGTCCTTAGTAAATGGGGCCTGCCAAGGGCATCTGGAATGTCTGGTGGATAGTATTCCATGCCGTGCAGAGGGTGAGGAGCTGGTGCTGGGCACACAGGCGAGGATCGGCCTGTCACCCCTTAGGACAGCCAGGGAATGCTGGTTCTTGGCATCCCAAGTCCGCATGGGAACAATTGGGTCACCTGTGTGCACGGGGAGGGATGCGGCGTCAGCGGTCCAGCCTGGATGGCGCCAGTTCCCCCAGGTACCCTGAGCCCTGATTCCGGAAAAGTTCTCCCTGAGTAACTTGGGAGGGAGATGGGGGAGGGTGGGCGTCTATAAATACCTACAAATATTTCTTGTTCTCGTAGACGTCGTGGAGCTTGAGGACATGCGGGTGCTCAATAAGCTTCAGGATGGCGATCTCACGCTCCACCTGTGGACAGGGCAGGGGCAGAGGTCAACTTGGCCTCCCGGCCTCCCAAAGTCCCCGGACTCCCCCAGGCAGACATGCTGCAACGGGCACTTACCTTCATCAGCACCGACTCGGACAGTTTCTCCCGGTTCACAATCTTGATGGCGACTTTTTGACCCGTGATGCAGTGGACCCCGAGTTTAACCAGCCCTAGGGGAGCAGGACAAAAATGTGGGTGCTCTCTGGGACCCCCTTTCTCCTCAGTCCCTAAGTCCCCTCTGCCTCCCCGTTCCCTCCTCTTCCCCTGCCAGCTGTTGACAGTGGCCTGAGCCACTGAACCCGGGAGGCTGGCAGTCCACACTCCTGTGGAACACAGCCTTCCCCTCTCCTGGTACCCAATTCCCTTTCTTTTCTTTTTTTCTTTCTTTTTTTTTTTTTTGAGTTGGAGTCTCACTCTGTCCCAGACTGGTGTGCAGTGGCCACTACCAGCCACCGCAGCCTTGACCTGCTGGGCTCCGGCGATCCTTCCACCTCAGCCTTCCAAGTAGCTGAGACTACAGGCGTGTACCCCCAAACCTGGCTGATTTTTAAATTTTTTATGAAGAAGACGTCTCGCCATGTTGCCCAGGTTGGTCTCAAACTCCTGGGCTCAACCCATCCTCCCACCTTGGCCTCCCAAAGTGTTGGGATAATGGGCGTGAGCCATGGTGTCTGGCCCCAATTTCCTTCCTTCTGGTGGTCCATCTGCCCACCTGCCACCAGTCACTCTGGATCCTCTCTCTGACTCTGTCCTTCTAGGGTGGTTGCCTCGGCTCAGCTTGCCACATATTCCCTCCTCGCTGTGTCTCCATAGTCTTGCCTGCCCCATCTGCCTCCACCAAACCCCCCTCTCTCTTTCTCTTTCTCTCTGCCCCCCATCACTTCCTTGCACTCTCTACGTTTCCATCTTTCAGAGACCCTATGTCTCCTGACAAACATAATCTCACATCTGTCCGGCCCAAATCATCCTCCACCTCCCTCCAAACTCAGACCCCTCAACTCCCTTCTTTGACGTTTATTTATTTTGAGTTGGAGTCTCATTCTGTCGTCCAAGCGAGAGGATAGTGGTACCACAGCCTCAACCTCCTGCGCTCAGGCGATCCTTCCCCTTCAGTCTCTGGAGTAGCTGGGACTACAGGTACAGGCCACCACACCCGGCTACTATTTTTATTTATTGTAAAGACGACGTTTCGCCAAGTTGCTCAGGCTGGTCTCGAACTCCTGGGCTCAAGCAATCGTCTCCCCTCAGTCTCCCAAAGTGCTGGGATTACAGGCGTGAGCCACTGTGCCTGACCTGATCTTTTAATAGCAGCCATATCTGAGAGCCCACAAACTCCTTATGTCTGGATCCCAGCCCACTCCCCTTCTCAGGACCCTCAACTTTAGGTCCTGAACCCTCAAAGCTACAGACCCAGCACTTCTCCCTCAGGCTCTGGTCCGTCCTCCCCCAGACCCAGGAGTCCAGGCCCCCAGCCTCTCCTCCCTCAGACCCGGGAGTCCAGGAGTCCAGGCCCTCCTCCCCCAGACCCAGAAGTCCAGGCCCCCATTCCCTTCTCCCTCAGACCCAGGAGCCCTGACCCCAGACCCTCCTCCCTCAGAGCCAGGAGTTCGGGCTTCAGCCCCTCCTCCCTCAGACCTAGTTCACGCCCCCGACCCCTCCTCCCCTGAAACTCAGGAATTCAGGTCAGCAACACCATCACACTCTCACCACCAGCATCTGAGGGTCTGGCCCTCTCTCCCGCCTGGGTTCCCAGTCCCAGCCCGGTCCCCACTCCAGCAGGCTCAGGTTCTCAACTTCAGAGAGACCCTGGGCCCACCTTTGGACCCGCTACCTGGGCCACGGGTGCTTGGCTCCATGTCCCCTTCACCCACCCGGCTGGAAAGGGACTCCACGGTGGCCAGTGTTTAGCAACAGCAGAGCGCGACCGAGCGCCCTTTGCACGGCCACTCCTGGGAGACGTCCCTGTGACAGCCCCCCTTTCCACCCGTCTGTCCTGTTCCCCACACTGAGCCTGCAAGTCAGGGAAGGGGAGAATGTCCCAGGTCCTGCGGCCCCTGCCTTGCTGCCCGGCTGCAGCCTGCAGAACGGGTGACTCTCCCAAGCCAGAGGACGGTGGGAGGGAAGAGGCTCCCCAGGACGGTACTTCGCGTCTGCAGCTGTACTGCAGCAAGGGCCTGGGCTCCCAGCCCCAGCCGACCCGGCTCCCTCAGAACGCCTGCCCCCGCCCGGCCACCCTGGAGCCCCTGCAGCCTCTGCCCTGCCGGGGATGGAGCACTGGAGCCCCAAACTCCCCACAACACTCGGGGCTCCGGCGCCCCCCTTCTCCCTCTGACTCAGGAGTTCGGACCCCCAGCACCTTCTCCCTCTGACCCAGGAGTCCCGACTCCCAGC